GTTAAACTTTTGACTAGAGCTGATTAAGCTGTTTATTATCGAGTCAAAAATTGGTTCTTTCATTCCATTGTATCACTATCATAATTTAGAATCATATTGAATTTGTATACTCTTGTGTTCTACTTTATGAACTGAGAGTCTGAAACGAGGCAAAGCATGTTGAAATTATGTCCTAAGGTTTTTATTTGGAGATTGAAGGCCAAGTGTTAGGTTCAATGTGCTGCTTGGGATACCTGCATCCCATATTGGAGTGCCTATGTTTGAGTCCTGGCTTTATTACTGATTCCTGATTATTCCTACCTTGAGATGCAACAGGTAATGACTCAAGTATTTGAGTTCCTGTCACTCACGTGGAAGACCTGGATTGAATTCTGGGCTGCAGGCTTTGGCCTATCCCAGTCCTGGCTGCTATGGGCACTTGGAGAGTGAACTAGCAGATGGAAGACTTCTGTCTGTTGATTTTTGTTTTCAAATAACTAAAAATTAACCAAACAAGCAAACAAAATACAGTCTGACATTGTGGTGAAGCAGGTGGAGCTGTGGCTGTGATGTCAGAGAGCCAGTCCTGCCTGCTCTGCTTTTTTTTCTCTTTTTTTGACAGGCAGAGTGGACAGTGAGAGAGAGAGACAGAGAGAAAGGTCTTCCTTTACCGTTGGTTCACCCTCCAATGGCTGCCGCGGCCGGCGCGCTGCGGCCGGTGCACTGTGCTGATCCGAAGGCAGGAGCCAGGTGCTTCTCCTGGTCTCCCATGGGGTGCAGGGCCCAAGCACTTGGGCCATCCTCCACTGCACTCCCTGGCCACAGCAGAGAGCTGGCCTGGAAGAGGGGCAACCGGGACAGAATCTGGCGCCCCGACCGGGACTAGAACCCGGTGTGCCGGCGCCGCAAGGCGGAGGATTAGCCTAGTGAGCCGCGGCGCCGGCCGAGTTTTTCCTTTCCTCATTGTGTGTTCTTGGCACCTGTGTGCGTTTATCCCTGTGCCGTCTCCTCTGTCCTGTTGGTCAGTGTGTCTGTCTCACGTCAGTGCCAGTGTGTTTATCCCTGTGCCGTCTCCACTGCCCCACTGGTTAGTGTGTCTGTCTCATATCAGTGCCAGTGTGTTTATCTCTGTGCCGTCTCCGCTGTCCTGTTGGTCAGTGTGTCTGTCTCACGTCAATGCCAGGCTGTTTTGGCAATTGCTTTATAGTGTATTTTGGAGTCAGCTGTGTTCTTTTCGCTCATGACTGTTTTAGGATACTGGGAAGTCTTTTGTAGTTCCATATGAATTTAAGGATGGTTTTTTTTCTGAGGCAAACATTTGGCCTACCAATTAAAATGCTGATTAGGGCACCTTGTCCACATCAGAGCACCTGGATTTTTTTTTAAGATTTATTTATGTATGTATGTATGTATGTATTTGCATGGCAGAGACAGAGGTCTTCCATCCGCTGGTCACTCCCTAAATGGCCGCAAACACTGGACCTGGGCTGATCCAAACCAGGAGCTTCTTCCAGGTCTCCTACACAGGTGCAGGGGCCCAGGGTCTTGGGCCATCTTCTGCTGCTTTCCCAGGCCATCACAGAGAGCTGGATTGGAAGAGGAGCAGCCAGGACTCGAACCAGCACCCCCTGAGTACCTACATTCGATTGCTGGTTTTGGCTCTCCTGTTTCCAGCCTCCTGCTAAATGCAGACCTGTTACTGCCACCTACATGGGAGACCCCAACTGAGTTCCCAGCTCCTGTCTTCAGCCCTCTGGGTGCTGTGGGCATTTGGGGAATGAATCAGTGGGAGGAAATAGTCTGTCTCTCAAAATAAGTTTAAGAATTGTTTTTCTATTTCTGTGAAAAATGATACTGGAATTTTAGAGACAGAGAGAAAGGTCTTCCTTCCGTTGGTTCATTCCCCAAATGCCCACTCTGTGCTGATCCAAAGCCAGGAGCCAGGTGCTTCCTCCTGGTCTCCCATGCGGGTGCAGGGCCCAAGCACTTGGGCCATCCTCCACTGCACTCCCTGGCCACAGCAGAGAGCTGGACTAGAAGAGGAGCAATCAAGACTAGAACCCGGCGCCCATATGGGATGCCGGTGCCACAGGCAGAAGATTAGCCAAGCGAGCCATGGTGCCAGCCCCTGATACTGGAATTTTTGATAGGGATGGTACTGCATTTTCAGATCACTTTGAGAACTGGATATTTTCACAGTATGAACACAAATACCTTCCCATTTATTTGTTTTCTTCCATTTCTGTCATCAGTGCTTTCTAGTTTTCAGCATTCAGGTCTTTTGCCTCCTTTAAATTTACATCTAAATATTTTTCTGTTGTGGCTGTGGTAAATGGGATTGTTTTCTTCATTTTTTTTGAGTAGTTCATTATTATTATTATTATTATTATGAAGAAACACTGCTGGTGTTTGCATATTGATTTTTGTGTCCTGCAGCTTTATTCAACTTGTTTTGTAGTTCCAACACCTTTTTGTTGGACACTTATAGGATTTTCTATGTGTAAGGTCGAATCATCAAATATGACAGCCTACAGTTTCACTTCTTTCCTACTAGGATGACTTTTACTTCCTTTCTGATTGTTCTGGCTGGGATTTCTAGTACTATGGTGGAAAGCAGGGGCAGGAGCAAGCATATCTTAGAAGAAAAGGTAGGGGCCGGCGCTGTGGTTCTAGTCCCAGCTGCTCCACTTCCAATCCAGCTCTCTGCGATGGCCTGGGAAGGCAGTAAAAGATGGCCCAAGTCCTTGGGCCCCTGCGCCTGCGTGGGAGGCCCAGAGGAAGCTCCTGGCTCCTGGCTTCGGATTGGCGTAGTTCTAGCCGTTGTGGCCAATTGGGGAGTGAACCAACGGATGGAAGACCTCTTTCTCTCTCTCTCTCTGCCTCTCCTCTCTCTGTGTAACTCTGACTTTCAAGTAAAAAATAAATCTTTTAAAAAAATAAAAAGGTGTCAACTTTTCACCATTGAAAATGACGTTTATCATAGATGGCTTTCATTATGTTGAGGTACATTCCCTCTGTATCTACTCTGTTGACAGTGTTTTTTTTTTTTTAAGATATTTTATTTATTTGAAAGGCGGAGTTACAGAGAGGCAGAGAGAGAGAGAGAAATATCTCCCATCTGCTGATTCACTGCTCAAATGGCCACAATGGCCAAGACCTTCCAGCTCCCCACATGGGTGCAGGGCCCAAGCACTTGGACTGTCTTCCCCTGCTTTCCCAGGCACATTAGCAGGGAGCTGGATTGGAAGTGGAGCAGCCAGGACTCTAACTGGCACCCATATGGGATGCCGGCACCACAGGTGGCAGCTTTGCCACAATGCCAGGCCCTGTTGACAGTTTTTATCATGAAAAGGTGTTGAGTTTTGTCAAATACTTTGTCTGCATTTATTAATCTGATTATATGATTTTTATCCTTCATTTTGTTAATGTAGCTGTGTACTTGTGTATGTTGACGCATCCTTGTGTTTCAGGGATAAATCCCACTTTGATTGTGGTGAATGATCCTTTTATCAACCTGATTCTTTTCTTTTCTTTTTTAAGATTTATTTATTTATTTGAAAGTCAGAGTTACACAGAGGGAGAGGAGAGGCAGAGAGAGAGATAGGTCTTCCATCCCCTGGTTCACTCCCCAAATGGCCACAATGGCCGGAGCTGCGCCAATCCGAAGCCAAGAGCCAGGAGCTTCTTCTGGGCCTCTCACACGGGTGCAGGGGCCCAAGGACCTGGGCCATCTTCTACTGCCTTCCCAGGCCATAGCAGAGAGCTGGAGCAGAAGTGGGGCAGCCAGGACTCGAACTGGTGCCCATATAGGATGCCAGCACTACGGGTGGCGGTTTTACTGCTACGCCACAGTGCCGGCCCCCAAACTGATTCTTAATTGCCGTTTGAAACCCCTGTAACATGATAAATCATTACAACAGACATTTCATGATAAACAGCTGCTCCTTCCAAATGCATTTTTTAGCAGCTGCTGGGGCTGGGAAGGTCCCTAATCAGTCTAGCTCTACGTGTGTCTTTAAAGGATTATTCGAGCAAAACACAAAGAATGGTGCTTGGGACATAAACCCCTCTATCAGCCGAAAAAGAGGAGATCTCTTTCAACTCTCCTTTTTCATTCACCATCCCTTGGTCCCACACAAAAGCGTTGATTAATTACTAGCTAAGAATTTGAGCTGTTTTTAGCAGTGCAGTCTCAAAGAGAATAAGAACAAGTAATTAGATCAAGTATTTGTATGTCCTTTATGTATGGTGACTGGAGGATCTCCCTACTCAAGATAGAATCTCAAATAGCAAATTTTATAGTGAAAGCATCCAGCTCATGATCCAATCTCCGCTACAGCCTGTGATATGAGATTCAGCAGCTCCTGAGTTTCTGCTTTTCATTGATAAGCCTTCCTCATAGTTAGCCTGAGTTGGCTTTTGTGAGCAATTACAGCTTACGCTACAGCTTCGGGGCTTTATTTAACAACTGTGAGGCTGTGTACACCTGTTCCCTGGAGTCTTCTCTCCCTGGTAGCCGTAGGTGCACTAAAGGCGGTGTTGTCACCACACCAATTACCCTCTTTCACTGGCTGTTTCCTCGGGCTATGTACCATGCTGCAAAGTCTGCAAATAGAATTTCCTAGGTTTTGTGTCACAGGGATTGTGTGTGTGTGTGCGTGTGTATGTGTATGTTAAGGATTTATTTTATTTATTTGAAAGGCATAGTTACAGAGAGAGGGAGGGGAGAGAGGGGAAGAAAAAAAAAAGAGAGGGAATCCTCCATCTGCTGTTTCACTTCCCAAATGGCTGTAACGGCCAGGGCTGGGCCAGGCTGGAGCCGGGAGCCCAGAGCTTCCTCCAGGTCTCCCACGTGCGTGCAGGGGCCCACGCACTGGGGCCATCTTCTGCTGCCCTCCCGTGTGCATTAGCAGAAGCTGGACTGGAACCGGCACCCAGGCAGGATGCCGGCACCGCAGGCGGAGACTGAACGCACTACGCCTCAACGCCGGCCCGGGATGGGCATTTTCTAACTTGCTGCCTTCTCGATTCTAGGTCCAGGAGCTGCATGAGGAAGAGGCACAGTGGGTGAACTACGATGAGGATGAGCTGTGTGTGAAGATGCAGCTGGCTGATGGGATCTTTGAAACCTTGATCAAAGATACTATCGATGTGCTGAACCACATCAGTGAGAAACAGGGGCGAATGCTGCTTGTGTGACATCTTGCAAATAAATCGAACACTGAGTGCTAACGTGAGTCCCGGGCCTTTCTGCCTCCTGATACCCCACCTCCATCCTAGCAAGAGTGCTTCCGGACCTTGTACCTGTCCCTGAGGACTACTGGCTTGGCGTTCACGGGACAGTGCGGTGGAGCAGGTAGTGCAGCCTTTGCCTTTAGAGACTGTCCACTGCACTGGTTGGTTCTTTCTAGTGGGCAGGGTCGCACGCCTGGTGTGGAGGTGCAGTGTAGTCCTACGCCTCTCGTTGGCACCCGTCCCAGGTCTCCAACGAGGGCTGACGCCCTGTGTGCTGACGCTAGAGGATCACTTGAGTCTGAAGCCAGGCCAGAGAGACGCGTGGATAAATGCATCTTAGAATCCTGGTCTCTACCATGGAAGTGCTAAATGGACATAGAGGTTTTAAACAGTATTAAACCCTTAATCACTTCTAAAATAGGCAAGTTCAATAATGGGTGCCTATTTCCCATTCTGGAGTTTATTTCTTTTCTTTCTGAAGAGCATTTTCTCATTATTACGGATGAGCAGCACCAAGTGGACTGAGACATTAACGGAAACAAGCGGCAGCCTTGCTCTCTGAGCGCCAGCTAAGGACTTCTCAAGCCTTTGTGCCGTGTTTCGTTTCCTCTGGGCACGGAATCAGGAATGCCCCCACGGAGACTGGCTCCAGGACGGTGGCAGGGCTGGCTCTCCTCGCCCAGCGTCGCACCCCTGCACTTTCCCGACTCGTGCTGAGCCTCTGCCAGCTGCCCCACAATCACAGCTACTCAGGACCATCTCAGGCATCCAGGCATGGCAAAAGTGGAAGCAATTCATTTTGGCCTTCAAACCTTCAACTCCCATCTCTCCCCGAGAAGTCAGAGATGCTGTTACTTGAATGATTTAGGAAACGCGTGTGTGCACCAAAGACAAAAAGATATTGTCTATTGTTTGTTGTGCTTGTTTTGCGCTATGGAACCTTATTTTAATTTATTTTAAGGTAAATTATTAAGCTGAAAATGTGTGTCGCTATTCAGAAGTGAAAGATTCTTCTTGTAATAGTGAAATTTCTGTCTTGAAACTTCTATGGTTCATAGTCTTTGCACAGGAAACCTACAGTTCTAACAAACCCGTACACATCTCGAAGAAGTCCGTTGCATTCAGTGAAAAGGAGATGCGAATTCCGAGAGCACCTGCGGCAGCAGGTATGGTATAACAGGATTTAAGAGACTTACAATTTGATGCCTCTCTTGCAGATTTGCTTTCACAACTATTACCTGTATCTGAAAAAAAATATCTAAGACTCCAGCTGCTACATTAGAGCATGAAGATGCTCTCCCAGGACCTCAGCACGCTGCCTTCCTGACGGTTTCCCCTGTCAGTCCTTTCTCTCTTCACGGAGTCTAGAAGAATGTGGATAATCTTAGGCGTGAATGCAAATGCCTTAATACTGGCGGTCCTGACTAGAAGCATGATACAAGACATCCACTGGACGCGTATTTCCAAACACCCTGGAATGCTACAGCTTGGAGACGTGGTAGACAGACCCCAAAGACGGGGTCACCTCCAGTGCGCACACTTCGTTTCTGCCATCTTCCCTCCAGACTTGCCTTTGCCTCTCAAATGTCTCACTATGCACACCTCCATCCCTCTTTGATTTCATCTTGTCATTATGAGACACTTACTGAAGTAATCATTGGAATATTTGCATTTTGCACAGTGACTGGTGTGATAGCTCTTGACTAGTACGGAAAGCACTGACATGTTGTGACTGGGTCTCGGGAGACGCTGATTAGTGTGTTACCAGCATTTCTTCTGGGCTTTTCACGTTGCGCAGTAGTCTTGTAGCCATAAAAAGCAAGTTGACTGAGAGAAGCGAAGTTTCCTTAGGGTTGTTGACCAGTAGTATGGAAATACCGTTTTCACGTGGCCGAGGAGAAGCAAAGGCCTTGTGTTCCATTTGGTATTTGGAACACAGGAAAACATCTTGTCTACATGCTTTCGCCATTAGTAGGACCACACTGTCCTTGTGATACTGAAACTTTACAGCTGCTGTAAATTTTTTATACATTAATAACAAAATACTACAACAGGAACATGGGTTGTTTTTCTACGTCTTCATTATTTGGACCTAAAGTCAATTTTTAATTTTAAACAAGTTCATGACGTGATTCCAGAAAAGGAAAAAACAGAACGATATTAAGTGCGTGGAATCAGCAGTGTGGAGTTAGAGCTCCCCTGAGCAGTGCTGCCAGGGCGTGGCCGCGGCCGCCCTGGCCCACCCCTGCTGCCATTACTGCTGAGACGCGAAACCAGGCTGCCTCTTGGCTAGAAATGATTATCCGTACTTTGGAAGCAAATCAACGAAAGAATCGATAGATTTTATTATTGTAACTATTTGGATCTAATTGAAGTGGATCTACTGTTAGGATTAGGAATGACACATGTTCCTTAGTGGGATCTTTTTAATCAAGCTCTGCCTCTTACCCGAGAACCCGACGGTTCCCTTTTCTGATCTTTGTTTCTCCTCCCCACACCCCCACCCTCTTTCAGTCTGTCTTCGTAATTCCTCTAAGAAGATCTTTGCATCAGCAGTAATACCTTTTAGAATAGCACTATCAGAATTTAGTAGTAAACCAACGTATAGACTTCAGAGTCCTTTCTGAGTCCAAAACAGTTTGTGCTGTCCAGGGTGCTTAACTCTGGGTTCAGTAAGTACAGGGTATAGATTCCCTCTTCAGGTCTAAACAGGAATTTTTACTCTAGGGAAAGTGGGGCGAGCTCAGCAGTAGTTAATACGGAAGGTAATTGGTTTTTCTTTTACCTAAAAGAAAAGAGAATTCCTCCTGTGACTGCAGCTCTCTGAGAAAGTACCTTTCAGAAGAGATTTCATCGCTCATAAGAGTGTTGTGGCCTATTGATAAAAACAATTTTGTTCACTTTCTTGTCTTGAAAAAAAGTGGCCTTAGCTTTTTGCAATACTTGAATAAAGTGTGTACTCGCAAAGGAATTTCTGTAGCACAGCATCAGAGACTCATAACTTTTCTGCAAGAAATTCAGACTTACATCTTCCTTTTACTACCTTAACAATACTAGTGAATAACACATTAACTCAAAGCAAATGATAGCAACTACAATGATGTTTAATGCAAATTGTAGGGATTACATGTTTACAAATCATCTTAAACTGGTTGTGCAGCAATTCAATAAAATATCTTTGTATTATAAAAATGTGAAGAAACAATTGTAAACTGATGTAAAGGAGGTTCTGTCATTTTAATTAACCTCTGTGTGACAGCTTTTCCTTTTGGACTTTGCAAAGCCTTCTTGGTAACACATTGCAAAGCGTTCTCTGGGGGGCCTGGCCTCCTCGCGTGTACTGTACTGTGCAGACATGAAAAAACAAACCCGTTTACTGTGTGCGTGTAAATAGCCTGGGCATCAGGCCGTTTTCAGCCAACAGTCACACCCAGTGCAGCCATGCACAGCAGACTCAAGGGTGTGGCGTGTAAGTATGATCTGTAAAATAACCGGGATGCATCCCCATGTACACCTGTGTACATAGATTTGTTAACTAAAATGTACTTTAAGAAAGGGTAAAATCTGTAAATAAACTGATTTATAAATTAACTTCATGTCGGATGTTCATTTCCCCCCTCTTGAGCCAACTTCAGAAAGTGCCTGCCTGGGAAATGCGCGTTTTCCTGATCGCTTGTTAGGTCGCGGGGCACTTACGTCTGGGCGGGAGAATAAGGTGAGCTGTGCGTGGGAGCTGTTGACCCTGGATGGACACCATCAGCCACACCTTTGAGCAGCTGGGCTCTGACAGGCCGTCATGCCTTCATTCGTTGGCTCAACAGCTGGTCCTTGAGCCCCAAGTGCTCTGGGCACCGTGCAGAGGAGAGAGCAAAGAAAGAGACCTGGTCCCCAGCATGGCGCTTCATGTTTACTGAAAGAGGCGTCCAAAACCGATGCATGGCAACTGTAGCACATGAATGCATGGCCGATGTAGCACCCAGGACAGGCGTCGGGGTGTATTCAGAAAAGGACCTCACACGGGTCGGGGTGAGTCGGGAGGCGTCCAGAGACAGCTCTGGGCTGGACACTGATGGGCTTCTCGCTAATTCACGACACGTGTCACTCCTCACTAATGACCAGAGCCTTGATCAGTCTTGCAAGGCAGCACACAGCAAAGTCACACACGACTGAGCAAGCTACAAAGGAGAGAAGAGAGTATCCCGTGTCTCCAGACACAGAGGAGAAGAGGAGGATCCCAAGGATGGACGTGTATGGCGCTCAGGGTAATGAACAGTCCCGGCCCAACAGACGAGAAGTACCCAGCTCCTCCTGAGTTCCTCACGACCGTCTCTCACCTCCAGCCCCTTACAGAACCATGAGCGTGAAAGAAATCCTCAGAGAAAGACTGACGCCAAATTTCCGCAGATTCTAAAAAATCCTTCGACTCCTAAGACTGGTCTGTGAGTGCACACCGTGTGCCAGCTGCCCCGGTGGTGCTGTGGACACAGAGCAACCACAGAACCTTGGGGAAAATGCCGGGAACCTGCGGCCTTGAATCAAAATCGAAGGAAATGGTGAGAAGCACAATGGTGAGTTGCAAAGCCAGCACAGAGGAGAAACCAGCAAGATTGGAAGCTGCAGCGCTGGCTGCCACAGAAAATGGTGAGAGGCAGTGTGCTGCCCGTCACTGGGTGGCTGCGCTGTACTGCCAAGGCCAAGGTGGGCAGGCGTGACCTGAGGTTGCTGAGAAGGCGGCGTCCACGCAGAGCAAGGGGAGAGTCTGGGGGGAGGGGAGGGGACGGGAGGCCCATCTTATGCCGAGAGAACATGTCCATTGTTCTGTTGCTGGGGCTGTGAGTGGGCGCCTTGGTAAGACTGGAATCTCTTCACATATCTGGACAGATGGCAAAGGGCTTTCTTTTTTTAAAAAACAGCACAGGTGGTCTCTGTGTATGGCCCACTGGAGTTCCTGGCCTTGACCTGGCTCAGCTCTGGCCATTTAGGGAGGAAACCAGTAGATAGATCTCTCTCTCTCTTTCTCCTTCTCTCTCTCCTCTCCTCTCCTCTCATTCTTTCAAATAAATACACCTTTAAAAAAAAATCACTCCAGCTGTTGACACAGTATAGCATCCATGAAACAAGAGTAGGGTGATCTGAAAGAGGAAGGAGAGGGGCCAGCACTGTGGCTCAGCGGGTTAACGCCCTGGCCTGAAGAGCCCGTATCCCATATGGGCGCCGGTTCTAGTCCCAGCTGCTCCACTTCCAGTCCAGCTCTCTGCTGTGGCCTGGGGAAGCAGCGGAGGATGGCCCAAGTGCTCGGGCCCCTGCACCCATGTGGGAGACCCGGAAGAATCTCCCGGCTCCTGGCTTCAGATTGGCACAGCTCCAGCTGTTGCAGCCATCTGGGGAGTGAACCAGCAGATGGAAAACCTCTCTCTCTCTCTCTCTCTGCCTCTCCTTCTCTCTGTACCTCTCTCTGTCTTTCAAATAAATCTTTGAAAAAGAAAAGGAAGGAGAGAAAGGCTCTTGACCACTGAAAGCGTGGTAGCCGGAAGTTAAAATTCAACAGAGTCGGGACGTAAGTTGAGGAAACCTCTTAGGAAGTAAAGCAAAAAGATCAAAACAGAAGAGAAGCGGTGAACTTAGAACCAATCCAGGAAATCCAACCTCCAATTAATTGGGTATCTGACAAGAGGCAATTATACCAAGGAGAACATTCCAGAATGTAAACAGGTGAGTGCCCAGGCCAATGAATGAAAATAAACCACACGAAGGCACATCGGTGGATAACACAGCCATCCCAGCCATTCTAAAGAGAAACATAAGAGATCACGAAGAAGGGAATAAGCGGTATCATTCATTCTTGAACAGCAACACTGAAGACCTTGGAAACAGAGCAACAGGGGCCGGCCCTGTGGCACAGTGGGTTAAAGCCCCAGCCTGAGGCCCTGACATCCCACATGGGCGCCGGTTCTTGTCCCGGCTGCTCCACTTCCGATCCAGCTCTCTGCTATGGCCTGGAAAGCAGTGGAGGATGGCCCAAGTCCTTGGGTCCTTGCACTCACGTGGGAGACCCAGAAGAAGCTCCTGGCTCCTGGCTTCGGATCAGCGCAGCTCTGGCTGTTGCGGGCAATTGGGGAGTGAACCAGCAGATGGAAGACCTCTCTCTCTCTCTCTCTGCTTCTGCCTCTCTCTGTGTAACTCTAACTTTCAAATAAATAAATAAATCTTAAAAAAAAAAAAGGCAACATTTTCAGCTTTCAAGCCTATCCTTGACTGATGTGAAGATAAAATACGGTGTTTTCTGAGATGTGAAGTCCTCACTTGCCATTCTCAGAGACATCAGCCACGACAAAGACTTGGGATCCAACACGGGGACTCCAACCCAGGAAAAGCATGCGAGACCCCCAGGATGGCAGCTACTCCCACTCCCCTCCAGCTTGGCTGGAGGCACAGTCATGGTCACAGGTGAACACTGGCCACTGTGATGTCACTGCCCTGGGGGGCTGAGCTAAGGCTGTGTCCTCCCTGTTGTCTTATGAGTCAACTCAGCCACACTGTGACGCCCAGGTATGTGGTCAAACGCCAGGCTAGAGGTCCCATCAAGAAGCCTCTAGGGAGGTGAAGACTTTGAGGGGCCGGTGCCGCCGCTCATTAGGCTAATCCTCCGCCTTGCGGCACCAGCACCCCGGGTTCTAGTCCCGGTCGGGGCACCGGGTTCTGTCCCAGTTGCCCCTCTTCCAGTCCAGCTCTCTGCTGTGGCCCAGGAGTGCAGTGGAGGATGGCCCAAGTGCTTGGGCCTTGCACCCGCATGTGGGAGACCAGGAGAAGTACCTGGCTCCCGGCTTTGGATCAGCGTGGTGCGCCGGCCGCAGCGGCCATTGGAGGGTGAACCAACGGCAAAGGAAGACCTTTCTCTCTCTCTCTCTTTCTCTCACTGTCCACTCTGCCTGTCAAAAAAAAAAAAAAGACTTTGAGTGAAGCAGATCCCCTTCCCAGTGGGGTGGGCTTCCTCCAGCCGGATGGAGGCCAGGAGGACCAGCGCCTCGGTGCCGCCTGCAGCCTGTGCTGCCAGTCTCAGCCTTGCCGGTGCTGGCATCTTAAAACCACGCTCCGCCTCCGCTCACATATACGCGAGCATCTTTGGAAGTTTATGGAAAACGTGAATTCTGGAAAACCTATGCCTAGATTTCAAATATTTTGTGGACTAAAATAAGCTTATCTTTAAAAAAGTTTTTTTTTTTATGTGAAAGGTGAAGTTACAGAGAAAGGGAGAAAGAGAGAGAGAGAGAGAGAGAGGTCTTCCATCTGCTGGTTCACTCCCCAATTGGCCGCAATGGCTAGAGCTGGGCTGATTAGAAGCCAGGAGCCAGGAGCTTCTTCTGGGTCTCCCACGTGGGTGCAGGGGCCCAAGCACTTGGGCCATCTTCCACTGCTTTCCCAGGCCACAGCAGAGCTGGATCGGAAGTGGAACAGCCGGGACAAGAACCGGCGCCCATATGGGATGCCAGCACGGCAGGTGGAGGCCTAGTCTACTATATTACAGTGTCAGATCCTAAACTTATATTTTTAAAAAATGTTGTGGGTTAACGCCCTGGCCTGAAGCGCCAGTATCCCATATGGGCACTGGTTGGAGTCCTGGCTGCTCCACTTCCGATCCAGCTCTCTGCTGTGGCCTGGGAAAGCAGTGGAGGATGGCCCAAGTGCTTGGGCCCGTGCACCCATGTGGGAGACCGGGAAGAAGCTCCAGCCATTGCAGCCAACTTGGGAGTGAACCAGCGGATGGAAGACCTCTCTCTTTCTCTCTCTCTGCCTCTCCTCTCTCTGTGTAACTCAAATAAATAAATATTTTTTAAAAAATGTTGATTTATTTGAAAGACAGGGGGACAGGGTGCGCTCACCTGCTGGTTTGCTCTCCAAATGCCCAGGCAGGCAGGTCTGGGCCAGGGCTGAAACTAGAAGCCGGGAACTCCATCCAGGTCTCCCGTGTGAGTGACAGGAGCCCAGTGACGTCAGCCATCACCCAGCTGCCTCCCGGGGTCTAGGCTAAACGCCTGCCCCTACACCTTTTTTTTTTTTTTTAAGATTTATTTATTTGAAAGGCAGAGTTAGAGACAGAGAGGTCTTCCATCTGCCGGTTCACTCCCAAATGGCCACAATGGCCGGGGCTGGGGCAGGTGTAAGTCGGGAGCCAGGAGCTTCTTCCGGGTCTCCCACGTGGGTGTAGGGGCCCAAGCACTGGGGCCATCTTCTGCTTTCCCAGGCACACCAGCAGGGAGCTGAACTGGAACTGGAGCAGCTGGGACTCGAACCAGTGCAGTGATGGGACACCAGCGTGGCAGGCAGCAGCTAAAACTGCTGGCCTAGACTTCTCTAGGACACAGCGCTGGCCCCTAGACTTCTAATTCCATTTTCCATGAACTACACACACACACACACGTATGTATACACGTGCATTTCCCAATGGTTCTGTCGGGAACCTTGAGTCCTACAGGAAGCCAGCAGCTCACGTCTGGACCCAGTGACTCCAGAGACAGTGTATTCTTCTGAATTCAGAAGTAAGCCCTAGGACAGCGATGCTGCAATGAAACAGTTAAGTGTGGTGCCCCTGGCAAGGGGAGATGGAAGGAGAGGGCGGAGGCGTGTGTCCTTAGTTGCACAGACTTTTCTGCCGTGTGCCAGTTCCCGGATGGTGATTCGTACTCCCTCTCCCACAGAGCAGAGCGCTGGGACCAGAGCGTCTGCAGCCCGTTTTCACCGACGTTCCTGCTAAGTGCTGCAGGAGGCACAGTCAGGTAGAACGACACTCTCCTTCTGACAGCCTAAAAACTCCCTACACTGTCCTCTGCTGCAATTCAGAAGTTAAAAGTGAGCTGAGGCTCTTCGAGCTAAATATTTTTAACGCCAAGAATCAGATTAACTAAAAAGCTTCACTTCCATATGTAATGTAAGTGGTGTGCCTCAGACGCACCCATATGAGCATCCCATATGGGCACTGGTTCGAGTCCCGGCTGCTCCACTACCGATCCGGCTCCCTGCTAATGGCCTGGGAAAGCAGTAGAAGATGCCCAAGTGCTTAGGCCCCTGCACCCACGTGGGAGACCCGGATGCAGCTCCAGCCTCCTGGCTTCGAACTGGCTCAGCCCTGACTGTTGTAGCCATTTGGGGCATGAACCAGTGAATGAAAGGTCTTTCTCTGTCACTTCGCCTTTGAATAAATAAGCAAGTCTTCTTAAAAATAAAGATGTGCTTCCAATGGTGGGCAGATGGTATGGAAAAAGAATTGTCACGGCGTGTCACTAGTGACGTGCGTGCGCCAGCCTCTGTCACAGAGGCCACAGTTTCCTACCTGGGCCCTGGAACGACGTCCTATTAAAATGTGCTTTGTTGTCATGATACCGGCAGCTTGCTTAAGTGGATGCTACGTTCCCTTGAACAACAATACCAATGAGAAATGTATTTTCACGTGCCCTGTTTTCCCACCTTGAGATGCATGGCCAGATCCCCAGGCAATACAGCGCCCATCAACAAACGGTGAGACCGAAACAGATCACGGGCGAGGCCAGGGACTACGTGCTAGTGGCACAGCGGTTTCAGACCCAGCAGGGTCACCTCCATTCTCTCTCTGGCCTATTTCACTAAATGTGTGATAGGTTTTTCAAACAGGAACCGCGGAACCACTCCAGTTGCAAACATTGCAGCACGAGGCGGCACGCGCGCGATGACCCATTCCTAAGTACAGTCAAAATGTTTTCTTAAATAATGATCATCTGCATGGCCTCCTCGCTGGGCTGGGAACGCTCCTGTGAGACAGACAGCTCAAACAATGACGCGAGCCACATGGAATCTGAGCTCCAAATCCCTCCTGCAGGCCCCCGAGTTGGACAAGTCCCTGCCCCCAGGAGTCCCAGGGAACTGCCCGCAATTCCTGCTTCCGGCTGTAGTGTTAATTCCACTTCCGGGAAATCCACTTTGCAAAGTGTGCATGACAAGGGGGTTGTCTTGGGAAGTGTTTGTGTTATTTTCATTATTTTAGGCGAGCGGAGGATCAGCTGGCTTTGGATAAAGCGAAACCGTTGAAGAGTTTTCTCAGTGAATGGAAGGAAAGAGGCTCATTTCTGGTGTCTCCATCTTTGCTAATAAAAAAGAGCTGAGGCTCTCCACGTGTGACACAACCACGAGGAAAAGCAGGTTCTAACGAGGAGGGACTCAAACAACAAAAACACTGACAAGCAATCAGGCACGACAAAGACACAGGATCGCAGTAGACGGTTCTTAGAAGAAGAAATACAAATGACCAACAGATGCGTGAAGAAACGCTCACTGTCCCTAGTCAACGGGGAGATACAGAACTACTGTGAGGGGCCGCGCCCCGGGCGTAGTGGGTTAAGTCTCCGTGGGCACCGGTTCAAGTCCCAGCTGCTCTGCTTCTGATCCAGCTCCCTGCTGTGGCCTGGGAAAGCAGTAGAAGATGGCCCAAGTGCTTGGGCCCCTGCACCTGCGTGGGAGACCCAGAAGAAGCTGCTGGCTTCTGGCTTCAGATCAGCTCAGCTCCGGCTGTTCCGTGAACCATCGGATGGAAGACCTCTGTGTCTGTAACTCTACCTCTCAAATAAATAAATAAGTATCTTTTAAAACACTTACCCCTTCTTCACATCGTCATCAGCACCTGTTACTTCCAGAAAATGAGCACGTGTGGAGAAAGTGTTTGATGCCGGGCTGGGGGAGGAGGAGGTATTCTGTCCTAAAAGGAAAAAGGCAAAGAAATCATCCTTCTCATGCAACACCGTCTGTAGACGTCGCTGGCAGCGCCGCGTGGCCCAGGGCCCTCCCTCCCCAAGTGGCCAGGGCCACTGAGAAGGCTAGAAGAAGCGGGCATCCTGGAGGCACCGGGTAGCTGGCGGCTGTTGGGGCTTCCCAGGAAGCCAGCGCTTTGTCCTCCCTGACTGGGGATGGGGTGTGGTGTTACAGGAGGGAGATACCACCAGGCAGCAGCCCCCGGGGGCTGGGTGTGTCGGACCGCAGTCATCAACCGCCCTGAGAGCTGGGGTCACGCGCCAGGACGCCCACGCGTGAGCAGCGTGGCAGGACCCCTGCGGACACCCTGCGGGGAGCCCGGGAGGTAACACCTGAGCCAGGTGTGGAAAGATCCGAGGGAGAAGCCGGGGGGGGGCGCCAGCGCACAGGCCGGGGAGGGGACAAGGTCCGGGGGCGGCCTCAGCGGGCTGGGCTTGGAGGAAGCAGCAGCTCCGAGGGGGTCTGGTGGCCGCCTGGGTCTCCCCTGGCAGGGCTGTGGGCAGGCGCGCAGCAGTGCAGGCGTCATCGTCCCCTCCTAGTGCCCCGAGCGGCGTCATTCATTCATTGGTTTGGTGAGCGTGGTGATGGAGCCGGGTCTTGAGGGGACATTTCCCGCTCGCATAGTGGGGCCAGAAAATTCTCTCTTCCCTCCTGCGCCTGGATGGCTCCCTCTCAAACCGCCCAACTGCTCTTCAGACACGCCAGCAAAAAGAAAACAGTAGAGGGCGCTCCTGAGCAGGCTATGCTGCGCGCTCTGAATCTATCAATCATTCCATTTGATCCTCTCAACCTTAGAAGATGAGCCCCGCTTTACAGGCCAGGAAACTGAGGCTTGAAAGGTTCAGGACCTCGCACTCCCTGGACCCACCCGGGCCTGTCTGACCCCCCAGGTAGCCTTCTGTCCTCTGTCTACTCGGGTCCCTGTCCCTTCTCTTGCAATCCTGCCGCTGGGAGGCAGGACATGGTCTGTCTCCTCCCAGTCCCCAGATCACCGCTTCGTAGATAAGACCCGAACCCTTCGTGCAAAATCCAATCTCCTTCTCCCTCCCACTTGTTCAGAACAGAACGGAGCCCCTAGCACAGGCTCCACTCCCAATTTCAGCTTCCTGCTAACATGCACCCTTGGGCGCAGCAGTAATGACTCAAGCATGTAGGTCCCTGTCACCCCTACAGGAGACCCGGATTGAGTTCCTGGCTCCCAGGGTCAGTCTGGTCCAGCCCTGGCATCATGGGCATTTGCAGAGTGGGCCAATGGGTGGAAGAAGATCTCAGTCTGTCTCACCATCTTTCTAATACATGAAATTAATTTTCAATGTCAGTGTGGTGGCACCCTTTCCTCCAGCCTCTGGCCTGGCCCCCGTGGGGTGGTTGAGAAAGGACAAGCAGCATCGGTGAGCCTGTGCAGCTCTGGTTTCACTCAAAGCACACATCACCCTGGGAAGCAGGTACCATTAGTGCATCTGTCAACACGAGATGACTAAGGAGGGCCCAGCCGCGTCAGCTAGGACAGGTGGAGCTGGATGAGGGCTGTGCATTGTGTCTGTCTACAGATTCCCGCCAGCATGGGACCTGCTTAGATCCTGAAGCTGTTCTGTTCTGCTGAGAACAGGCCTCTGAAGCCGACTTCCAGGTATTAGAGCAGAGAGAGTGGCTGTCAGAGAGAGAGAGAGAGAGAGAGAGAGAGAGAGAGAGAGTCCATCTGCTGATTCACTCACTCCCCAAGTGGCCACAAGGGCCAGAGCTGGGCCAGGCCAAAGCCAGGAGCCGGGGGCTTCTTCCAGCTCTCCCATGTGGGTGCAGCGGCCCAAGTACTTGAGCCATCTTCTGCTGCTTTCCCAGGTGCATTAGCGGGGAGCTGGATCAGAAGTGGAGCAGCGGGGACTTGAACCTGTGCCCATATGGGAAGCCGGCAATGCAGGCAGTGGCTTTAACTGCTATGCCCCAGCGCCGGCCCTGGAGCCGGCACCTTGACCAGCCCCTCAGAGAGCCTCTGTGCCCAGGGTTTTGTCCGCAAGGGCTCAGTCCCACCGCGTGAACTCAGACCCCAGGATCCGCCCAGCCAGGACCGAGCCCAGAGGCCAGCTTCGACATCTGGCTCTGTAGGAATCCCTCGTGCCTTCCTCTGCAGCCCCACCTGTGCTGACGTGGCCACACTCAAGCTGGCTTTCGAAATGAGGGGGAAGGCAGCCTTCATGTCTCAATATGGGACATAAACTCTCGGCAAGGCAAGGTCTATATTTAGACCTTTAAAAAACCTACCCTGAGACAATCTGCATGTGTGTGTGTGTGTGTGTGTGTGTGTCTCAGGGTGTGGTGGTGTTAGTGCAGGAGGGGCCAGCGCACTGGCACAGGCCCCAGGCAGAAGGATTTCAAGGGGAAGCAGAGAGCTCTGAACGGGGCGGTGAGGCTCGCCAGGCTCCTGCCAGCCACAAGGACCCCACTGTGGGCACTTCTGCCCAGTCTGCCCACCCCTCCCTTCCAGCTCAGCTGTGCCCGCAACCCAGGACTTAGCATTATTTGGGGGGGGGCACGGGGGTCTCTGTTGCTTCTTATTTTGGTACCGCTTCCTTCCAGCTCTGTGCTTGGGGGTCTTCTGCCTCGGGCAGCTTCCTAGACACGGAGCATACCATGACACAGATGCTCCCCAGCGTGCGGGGGAACCCAAAATCGGCTGAGCTTCTCTGTCACTCGCCCAAGGCCACAGCACTGACCTGGCTGGGCTGGGATGCGCGGCCCGGGTTCTGGCCTTGAACTGCTGTGCGGGGTGCTCCGGGCCAGCCTGGGGACGCCAGTGCGGCAGGGCCTCCGGTAACACGGCACCAGGGCTTGCTGGAGGCAGTGGCAAACACCGTACCTAGAGAAGAGCTTTTGGAGAACAGGACCTGTCGCCCAACGTGCAGCCTGCTGAGTGTGTGTGTGTGTGTGTGTGTGTTGGGGGTGCCGGGGCGGGACTGGACCTCTGGGAAAGCCCATGACTCAGAACACGAGGTGAGCCAGTTTCAGGGTGGGAAGGGAACCCCGAGCCAGGCTGCCCGGGGCTCACGCCCTGCCCTGCTTCTCAGACCCACCCGAGCGTCCGTGGGGCCCGGGGAAAGCCCCACGGAGGCCACACACCGTCTGGCTAAATGTTTGCGACACGCAGTCACTGCGCAGCCCAGCCACCTGCCAGGCTGTGGGTTCTCCCCCTCCTGCCTCACACCTGAGGCGTCACAGTGACGCAGGAGGCCGGGTGTGAACGCGGGAGCGCGTGGGGAGCGCAGCCCGCGCCCTGCTCCAAGGCCCCTCCTGCGGGGCCAGCGGGCACTGGGCCTGCGTCGTCCAGCCCTGCCCACGCCTTTCCCCAAAAGCTGCCTCGTGGCCACCGTTTGGGCCCACTTGGGTGGCACTCTCACCCCAGAGGAAGTGGGGGACGATCCCTTCCAAGCCTGGGACCCCGGTCTGGGCCCTGAGCAACCGGCTGGTGGGATGCCTTCACCGAACTGGCCCAGGCAAGGGAGGGGCCGTGCCTGTGAGCCAGAAGCCCAGGCTTCCGTGTGGCCGCGTGAAGTGCCGGGGGCGTTGCGGGAAAATGCTGCACACCAGGGCTCTTCAAAAGTTCGTGGAAATGCATATTAGAAGATAAAACACTGTGTGGTTTCCAAACATTTTTGTGTCAAAATGAACGTTTTTAATTCCATTTTCCCACACAGTTTTTGATGTCCCCTTTTATATGAATCTTGAACTCCAGGGTGAATTTGGGGCTGGAAATAGAAATGGTTTGAGGGTGGTGTTTTCAAGACACAGAACTCGATGGGCTGTGGGCTGTCGCCGCGGGGCTCCGCATTCCAGGGGTCGCAGGAGGAGACTGGCCACACCCTCCTCTGTGGTTCTGCCCACTGCATACCCATGTGGCCAAAGGAACTTAGCCAATACAGCTGAGGTTAGGAAAGGGAAGGAGGGGTAGGAAGCAGACATGTAGCCCAGTGGCGAAGACACCGGCTTCCCCATCGCAGTGTCTGGGTCTGATTCCCTCTTCTCCAAACGCTTCGCACAACACCTGACCCAGCAGAGGGAAGATTCCTTCTCTCCTCCTGCCCCCCCCCCATCACTCTGCCTTTTAAATCAATCATCTTCAAAAAATAAAAAACACACACAACCTCTTGGATGAATTTTCTCCCTTCCCCAGGGGCAGTCTTGCTCCTTTCTCTTCCCAAGGAACCCGCGGCTTCCACTTCCGCTTATCCCTCCCTCCGCTCCAATCCCACTTCTGACAGCGCTGCTGCTCTGTCACTGGTCCCCCCCCCCCCTCGGTGCCCAGCCTCTGGGCCACACCTGACGGCCCCTCCCTCTCCAAGCCCCTTTCCTTCTGCACTGTGTGGGTTCATTTCTGCTGTGTCCGGCTTGAAACAATACAAATTGATCTCGCAGGTGTGCAGGTCCCAAGGCCGGCAGGGGGCCCAGTGGGCTGAGCTCCGGGTGTTAGCAGGGCTGGTTTCCCATCCAGGCAAGACCCTGTGTGCTTGCTCATTCAGGCTGTTGGAAGAACTCGGTCCTTGGGGCTGTAGGTCTTGGCACTGCCTCCCAGGGTTTGCATTAGCACGAAGGCGGAGTACAGAGCTGGAGCTGGATTCGAACCCAGGTACTCGTTATGGAATTCAGGTCCCTTAACCACTAGGCCAAACGCCCACTCCACTGTTTCCAGTCCCCTGGAGCTGGGACTATGAGCGGTCTCTGGATTCAGGGCGGGCTCTGGAGTGTGGTTACTCACTACACGTATCACCTGGCACGTCTTCAGTTTCCGTGTTCCAACCCTGCTTACCCCATGCACTTCTCGGGACTGTGGCGCACTGCCCGAGTGGGAGTCATGATGCTTTGTGGACAGAGTCAGCCACATAACACCCGGCCAGGGAAGCTGCAGGCGCCCGGGAGGCACCCGCCCAGCTGCAGTGGCCGCTGCGTCCTGAGATCTCTCCCTGCCAAGCGCAGGCAACGACACCCACCTCTGCCCAGACCCCAAGTTGCCCGAGAAACCCCCTGCATGAGCCTGGTTTCCTGACCCCTGGAGCAGAGGTCACAGAAATCTGTATAGGACCTGCTGTCCGGGAACGCCTGCAGCCACAGTGCTTGTAGCCGTCATCTGTGTCACCCGTGAAGGCTGGGGAGGGGGGAGGCCGATTCTGCCTGCAGTTGTTGAATGTCTACGTGCCAGTGACAGGAAGTCCCCCAACGGGAGTGCAAGGCCAAAGCTCTCTGTGGTGTAGGGCTCTGATGCATAGCTGGTATTTTTGTCTTTAAGATTTAGAGAGATGGGCCGGCGCCGCGGCTCACTAGGCTAATCCTCCGCATTGCGGCGCCAGCAGACCGGGTTCTAGTCCCGGTCGGGGAGCCGGAGTCTGTCCCGGTTGCCCTTCTTCCAGGCCAGCTCTCTGCTGTGGCCAGGGAGTGCAGTGGAGGATGGCCCAAGTGCTTGGGCCCTGCACCCCATGGGAGACCAGGAGGAAGCACCTGGCTCCTGCCATCAAATCAGCGCGGTGCACCGGCCCTGGCAGCCATTGGAGGGTGAACCAACGGCAAAGGAAGACCTTTCTCTCTGTCTCTCTCTCTCACTGTCCACTCTGCCTGTCAAAAAAAAATATTTAGAGACAGATCTTCCTCCCAGCGTGTCACTCTCCAGATGCCCACAACAGCCAAGGTTAGGCCAGGCTGAAGGCAGGAGCCTGGAACTCTATCTGGGTCCCCCATGTGGGTGGCAGGGGCCCAAGCGCTTGGGCCGTCTTCTGCTGCTTTCCCAGGTGCACTAGCAGGGAGCTGCTTCAGGAGCGGAGACGCCAGGACTGGAACTGGCGCACCTATGGGATCCTGGTATCACAGTGGTCAGTTAACCTGCTGAGCCACACACAAGGCTGGTTCCTTACGAGTAGGTGGTTTTGGGAAGGGCCACTCCATAACAGTTTGATACACAGGCTCACTGTCACCAGGAGGGGCAGCAGGCACCAGAGAGCTCAACGTGCCATCCAAGGTCAGACGCAGGACAGCTGAGCACCTGGGAGTCCAACCAGGCCTGTCTGGCTCCAAGCTCCTGCTTGCTTCTCCCATGTGACTCTCCCTGCCCAGGTCCAGCCAGTCTGCCCGCTTTCCAGGAAAGGAGAGGGGCCGGCATTTACGCACCGGGGCCGTGGTCTGCATTTGCAGACAGCTGAGAGCCTCTTGGTGTGGCTGGACCAACGCTCTCTAGGGCAGCCCTGGCCAGCCAGAGGTCTGGACGAAGCACGTGTGCCCCACAGAAGCCACGCGGATTCAGCTCTCCTGGTCACTGAAGACAGAAGGACCTGGAGATACCGGCAGGATTAAATGCCACCTTCTCCTCCTCCTCGTCTCAGCCCCCCAGTACGAAGCCAGCCTGTTTTTTCCCCCAAAATTAGAAGCAGGAAACAACAGAGGGGCTGGTGCTGTGCTGCAGTAGACTAAACCTCTGCCTGCAGTGTCGGGCTGCCCCTCTTCGATCCAGCTCTCTGCTGTGGCCCGGGAGTGCAGTGGAGGATGGCCCAAGTGCTTGGGCCCTGCACCCCATGGGGGACCAGGAGAAGCACCTGGCTCCTGGCTTTGAATCGGTGCATCTCTGGCCATTGAGGCCATTTGGGGAGTGAACCAGCGAACGCCAAGACCTCTCTCGCTGTTTCTCACTCTCTCTGTCTGTAACTCTACCTCTCAAATAAATAAACTCTTAAAAAAAAAAAAGAAAGAAAGAAAATGACCAGGAGCAGGAAAGTGGGATAGAATTCCTCGGGTCTCACAGAAACGTGCATACTGTGGAAGAGAGACACAGAAGCTGGGCCCAGGACACGAGGAGGGAGAGGGACGGGCAATGGGCACAGTGGTTAGGATGCTGGTCGGGATGTCTGCTTCCATATTGGAGGGCCTGGGTTTGAATCCCGGCTCTGCTCCTGATTCTGGCTTCCTGCCGATGTGCACCCTGGGAGGCAGTAGGTGAAGGTTCAAGTCCTTGGGTCCCTGCCCCCCACATATGAAATCCAGATCACTTTCCAGGTTCCTGGCTTCAGGCTGGTCCCGCCCTGGCTGTTGTGTTCATTGGGGGAATGAAATGGTGCTGGAAGATTTCTCTTTCTCTCTCTCTCTCTCTGCCTAGCAAGTAGATGAAAATAAATAAATATTTTTAAAAGAAAAAAATGTAAAAGACACAAGCAAGTGTTTATAAAACATTTACTATGTGGGCATTCCCACACAAGAGTCACTGTGTGGGGATATCCCATAATTTGGGACATGCTGCAGCCAAATCAACACTGGCTTGCGAGGCCATGGAGCGCCTCCCTCCTCACGCTGCCTTCGGTGATGTCGCGTCGGGCGCACGGGCTCAGCCGCCATGGGAGAGCCAACCCCCGGGGAATGGCAAGTACTGCCGATTAGAGCTCACCCCCGTGCCTGCAGAGCAAGCTGTGCCGCATTTTCCAGGACACAGAAGGCTACACAGTTACGTAAGAAGGCTACAAAGCCCCATGTGTGTCACTGTTACCACAACCTTCAAGTAGACAATGAGAGACAGATGGCAACAGGGACAGCGGAACCGCTCCCAGATATGGTCAAAGACAGAAGGGTCTGTATTTTAGAAATCTGTGAGCCTGAGGCGGGATGGGTGTGAAGAGACGCAGGTGCAGGTGGTCACAGCCGCACTGCTAGAGAGCAAACGCGGACAGAGCAGTCAGAGACGAAGGACATGTTAACGCAGGGGGAGATGGCACCAGCGGCTGCTAACTCCTCCATTCCTCAGGAAAACATCTTTACAGGGCCAAAGGAAGAAAACGCCCTCTCTGCAGCTACTGAAAACAGCCTCCCAGAATGAGGCGAATAAGGACGTTTTCGGTGAATAAAATTAAGAAGACTCATTATCAGCACAGCGTCTGTAAGAAATGAAAAAGTTCCCGCTAAAGGAAAATACCCAGTGCGAGTGACAGTCAGACCTTTAGGAATGCGTGGCACTGGCAATGACCATGAGCTAGGTAATAGGAAAGACTATTTTCCTAATTTTCTTTAAAATACTTATGACTATTTGATTAACAGATTTGGGGGGCCAGCACTGTGGCACAGCGGGTTAAGCCACCATCTGCAGTGCTGGCGTCCCATATGGGCACCAGTGCAAGTCCTGGCTGCTCCACTTCCGATCCAGCTCCCTGCTGATGTTCCTGGGAAAGCAGTGGAAGATGGCCCAAGTCCTTGGGCCCCTGCACCCACATGGGAGACCTGGATGAAGCTCCTGGGTTCATGTCGTCAGCCTGGCCAAACCCTGGCTGTGTGGCCATTTGGGGAGTGAACCAGAAGATCAAAGATTCTCTCTCTCTCTCTCTCTCTCTCTGTGTGTGTGTCTTTGATTCTTCTCTGTAACCCTTTCAAATAAATAAATAAATCTTTACAAAAATAAATAAAAATATGGGGCCGGCACTGTGGCATAACAGGTAAAGCCACCGCCTACAGTGCTGGCATCCCATACGGGTTCAAGTTCCAGCTGTTCCACTTCCGAACCAGCTCTCTGCTCTGGCCTGGGAAGGCAGCAGAAGATGGCCCAAGTCCTTGGGCCCCTGCACCCACGTGGGAGACCTGGATGAGGCTCCTGGCTCCTGGCTTTGGATCGGCACAGCTTTGGCCTTTACAGCCAACTGGGGAATGAACCAGAGGACAGAAGACCTCTCTCTCTGCCTCTCTGCCTCTTCTCTGTGTAACTCTGACTTTCAAGTAAATAAATAAATCTTTAAAAATAAATAAATAAAAAGATTACCATAGATAAAAGGGGCATTTTTGTAATGATCAAAGTATCAGTTATTTAGGAAGCCATTCCAATGGTAAATGTCTACGTTCTAAATAACAGAGCCTCTGACTACATGTAGCAGAAGTCAAAAGGAGAAGAAAAACAGGCAATTTCACAATCCCAATAAGAGAATTGTAATCTGTATCTCTCTTCCTCTCTCTCTCCATCTCTCTCTCTCAGCAATTAATAGAACTAAACAAAAAGTCAATAAAAGACAAAAGGGTTGAATGACTTTATCAACCACCTTGTCTAACCCATTATAGAATATGACACTGTAAAATCTTAAGTGTGTATGGTGTGTTCACCAAGACAGGCCAGATGCAGCCCTCAAGAAATTAGGAAGGCGGGAGAGAACGAGGGGACGCAACGGAGGCAGGCCGGAGCCGCTGCCGTCGCCATGACCCGCGGTAACCAGCGTGAACTCGCCCGCCAGAATAATATGAAAAAGCAGAGCGACTCGGTTAAGGGAAAGCGCCGAGATGACGGGCTGTCTGCTGCCGCCCGCAAGCAGAGGGACTCGGAGATCATGCAGCAGAAGCAGAAAAAGGCAAACGAGAAGAAGGAGGAACCCAAGTAGCTTTGTGGCTTCGTGTCCAGCCCTCTTGCCCTTCGCCTGTCTGCCTGGAGCCAGTCCCACCATGCTCGCGTTTCCTCCTGTAGTGCTCACAGGTCCCAGCACCGATGGCATTCCCTTTGCCCTGAGTCTGCAGCGGGTCCCTTTTGTGCTTCCTTCCCCTCAGGTAGCCTCTCTCCCCCTGGGCCACTCCTGGGGGTGAGAGGGTTACCTCTTCCCAGTGTTTTTTATTCCTGTGGGGCACACCCCAAAGTATTAAAAGTAGCTTTGTAAAAAAAAAAAAAAAAAAAAGAAGAAGAAGAAGAAGAAAGAAAGAAAGAAAGAAAGAAAGAAAGAAAGAAAGAAAGAAAGAAAGAAATTAGGAAGGCATTAAAACCATACAAACTTTAAAATATGACCGCAATAAAGTTAAATTAGAAAGAGTTGTGGCACAGCGGGTCCCAGCTGCTGCCTGGGATGCCGGCATCTCATATTGGAGTGCTCGCTCAGGTCCCGCTACTCTGTGCTTCTGGTCCAGCTCTCTGCTGATGTGCCCAGGAGGCAGCAGATGGGAGCCTCAGCACGTGGGCTCCTGCCACGCACATGGGTGATCTGGATCGAGTTCCTGGCTCCTGGGTGCTGTGGTCATTTGGGGAGTGATACAGCGGATGGGAGATCTCTCTCTCCCCCCCCCTTCATTTCAAATAATAAATCTTTTTTTAAAAGATTTTATTTATCTGAGAGGTAGAGATACAGACAGTGAGAGGGAGAGACAGAGAGAAAGGTCTCCCATCCACTGGTTCACTCCCCAGATGGCCACAACGGCTGGAGCTGCGCCGATCTGAAGCCAGGAGCCAGGAGCTTCCTCTAGGTCTCCTATATGGGTGCAGGGCCCAAGGACTTGGGCCATCTTCTACTGCTTTCCCGGGCCACAGCAGAGAGCTGGACTGGAAGAGGAGCAGCCAGGACTAGAACCGGCGCCCATATGGGATGCTGGCGCCGCAGGTGGAGGATTAACCAGTGAGCCACGGAGCTGGCCCCCAAATAATAAATCTCTTTTTTTTTTTAAATTGCAAGCCAGGGACAGGGAAATATATTTGAGAGCAGAGTAGAAGTTCACAGGCACGAACGTGAAGGCTTCTTGCTATGATGATGTTGCCGGAGGAAGCCGATCCTAAGGAGGAGGCTGGTCCAGACAAGCTCCCTGGAAAGAGCACCTGAACTCAGACCTCAATGATGAGATCCAAGAGAGAACCTCGAAAATTCACGGAGGTTGCATAGTCTGAAAAAAATAAACTATGTATGAGTTCCAAAAAAGTTCTTGCATCCAAATAATCTTTTAATTCCCTTTTGAAGTCCTCAAGGGAACAAATGAATGGGTTATAGGTTGAAGAGTGTCTCTCCGACAGGTGTTGGAGACTGCACACTATGACCTCCTCTGGCAGCGTGACCTCCACAGAGGTAAGAGGTCAAGGTGAGGCCAGAGCGGCTCAGAGCGCCTGTGGCTATGCAGGGGCCCTAGCACAGATCCGCAGGGGCAGCCCTCAGAGGAACCGACCCCCGAGACACTTTGATTTTGGACTTGTGGCTGCCAGAACCGTGAGACGACACATCTGTGTAGCCAAGGTCACAAGTCCTGGGATCCAGGGATAAGAGGGGTGACAGCTCCGAGCTGCCCAGTCCGACTCCTGTTAAGGAGCCACAGGCTGAGTGGCCAGGCAGAGGGGCCGGGGAGCACCAGGCCTGGGGCAGGAGCCGCGCTGTTCCACCCAGCAGACTTTGCAGCTGGGGCGGGGGAGGGAACCGGTGCACAAAAGCAGGACTCGCACACTTCTGGGGAGATGGCATACACAGGCTCCCATCGACAGAATCTTCCGGATTCATTCATCATAAAGATTGCATTCCAGTCTAGCACACTTGGTTGGTTAGACGTTCTCATTCTGTAGTAACTTTTCAGTTTGCACAGAAATTACCCAGAGCTCAAAGCCAAGTATAAAGGAGTCATTCATAGTTCATTTCCAAAGAAAGAGCCTCCCGTTTGCATCTAAAGCTCTTATTCAGAGAAACAACGTATTGTCAAGTGATGGCATGATTGGATACGGTCGGTCGAGGTAACACGAGGGAAAGACTGTGAATGGATGCTGCGTGGGGCCAATGATAGTCTTTTATTTTTTAAAGATTATTTATTTATTTGAAGGAGTTACACAGAGAGAGAATGAGTGGCAGAGAGAGAGAGAGAGAGAGAGGGAGAGAGGTCTTCTGTCCTCTGGTTCACTCCCCAATTGGCTGTAAAGGCCAAGGCTGGGCTGATCCAAAGCCAGGAGCCAGGAGCCTCCTCCAGGTCTCCCATGTGGGTGCAGGGGCCCAAGGACTTGGACCATCTTCTACTGCTTTCCTAGACCATAGCAGAGAGCTGGATAGGAAGTGGAAAAGCCGGGACTCGAACCGGCGTCCATATGGGATACCGGTATTGCAGGTGGCGGGTTTACCTGCTACGCCACAGCGCCGGCCCCATGCAGTGATAGTCTTAAGCGGGGAGGGAGACGGGGCAGAGAGGCAGGCCGCTGGCATGCAGGTGGATTTTCTAAGTGGGTGAAAAGACCCTGGGGGTTTAGACAGGGCAGGAGGGGCTCTGGGAGAGGCTCAGAGGGGACAGCCCCGGAAGACGCCTGGCCCTGACAGCCTAGCGCAGCGTCCATGTCCTGGAAACCTACTTCAGATAGGAGCTGGGGTAAGCGCCAGCGCAGCGGAGCGCTCCGGGTCCCTCCCTGGCCTGCGCTGACCCAGCTCTCGTCCTCAGAGTCTCCGAGGGGCACCCTCATTACCGTAGTACACTGTACAGTGACGCATCTCTAATTCGCAGATTCTGCTCCTTCCGTATCCCAAACGTGCAGCTCTGGCTGGGGCTGCCAACTCCAGCGCTGACCCAGCTCCCACAGGAGCGCACAGACTGCCCGGGAGGAGCCAGTCACCACACCTCATCTCCAGATGAGCTAGGGGTGGACACACACTACCAAGACCAACCGGGGCCTGGCCAATCGGAGTTCCCCCCTCCCTGTGTTTCTTCTAGCTGGGGTTGGGAGAGAGGCCCTGCATTTTCTCTCTGACCTGAAAGATGAGAGACGGCCTCTGGAAGCAGCCAGGCTGAGAGCATAAAGCAAAGAGTAGAAGAGAGAGAGAGAGAGAGAGAGAGAGAGATGGCCCCGCGGTGTCTCAGGCCCTCAGGCCAGGGCCGGCTTCCCCAACCCTGGATCCAGTCCTCCAAGGCCATCAGTCCCCTCTCCTCCTTTGGCTGGTTGAGGTTAGGGTCTTGTTGAGTGCTGATAGCTGATGTGTTCCTTTATTCAGACAACTACCAGAGCCCCAGAGCCCCAAGGCTGACCAAGACACACACCCCGTGCCCCTGGGTTTGGACATCCCCTTTGCAATCGTCTTGCTTCCTCTGTGCCAGCCCCGACAAATCAGCTCCAGCTGATACCTCCAGACCAAAGCGCTGTCTTCCCACTGCTGAAACAGGGTAGGATTGGCCAAGACCTGGCTAAAGTTCTGAGGGCAAGTGGCAAGGAAACAACATGACATAATCATGTACCAACCCGACAGGATTACCCCGATGTCTTTTTTTTTTTTTTTCTTTGACAGGCAGAGTGGATAGTGAGAGAGAGACAGAGAGAAAGGTCTTCCTTTGCCGTTGGTTCACCCTCCAATGACCGCCACGGCTGGCGCGCTGCGGCTGGCGCACCGCGCTGATCCGATGGCAGGAGCCAGGTGCTTCTCCTGGTCTCCCATGCAGGTGCAGGACACAAGCACTTGGGCCATCCTCCACTGCACTCCCTGGCCACAGCAGAGAGCTGGCCTGGAAGAGGGGCAACCGGGACAGAATCCGGCGCCCCAACCGGGACTAGAACCCGGTGTGCAGTTGCCACTAGGTGGAGGATTAGCCTAGTGAGCCGCGGCGCCGGCCACCCCGATGTCTTCAGTGAGCTTGCTTCATGGGCTGCAGGCCCACTCTACTACAGGAGCAATCTTGACATTGCTTCAGCGGAACCCTGAGGATGTGGCAAACGGTTTTAGGAACCCAGCCTGGACTGCCTGCTTGCTAGCTGCGAGACCGACCCCACGTGGAGGGCGTTGTTTTAAAAGTTAACTAATTAAAATGCCGGTGCTGTGGTGCGGCGGGTTAGGCCACCGCCTGCAATGCCAGCATCCCATATGGGTACTGGCTCAAGTCCCGGATGTTGCACTTCCAATCCAGCTCCCTGCTGGTGTGCCTAAGAAAGCAGCAGAAGATGGCCCAAGTGCTTAGGCTCTTGCACTCACCCGGATAAAGCTCCTGGCTCTTGCCTGGCCCAGCCTTTGGCCACGGCAGACATCTGGGGAGTGAACCAGTGGATGGAAGATCTTTCTCTCTGTGACTCCCATTCTCTCTCTGTAACTTTGCCTTTCAAATAAATAAATCCATCTTCAAAAAATTAAAGTATAACAAACAAAATTGATCTACTGCTGCAATGCAGTACCAATGAGAATACCAGCAGGCTTTAAAAGTTTTATGTTTTACTTTTAATAAATAGCCAGATTATAAAATTCATATAGAAATGCCAGGAACTGGTCTAACCAAAACGAATTTGAAAATGAGCAAGAAGGGGGCTGGCACTGTGGTGCAGTGGGTTAAGCTGTCATCCCTCACGCTAGCGTTCCATATAGAGGGCTAGTTGGCTTTCAGGCCAGCTGCCTGCTAACGCACCTAAGAAGGCAGCAGAAGATGGCCCAAGTGCGGGGCCCCTGCCACCCATATGAGAGACAGGGATGGAGTCCCTGGCACCTGGCCCAGCCTCAGCCATTGTGCCCTTCTCTATGTAACTCTGCCTTTCATATGAATCTTCTTTTTTAATTTATTTATTTATTTGAAAGTCAGAGTTACAGAGGGGGGGGTCTTCCATGAAGGTACAGGGGCCCAAGGACTTGGGCCATCTTCCACTGCTTTCCCAGGTCATAGCAGAGAGCTGGATCGGGAGTGGAGCAGCCGGGACTCAAACCGGCACCCGTTTGGGATGCTGGCACTGCAGGCAGCAGCTTTACCCACTACACCACAGCACCGGCCCTCATACAAATCTTTTAAAAGAAAAAAGAACCACCTCAGTCCATCATTAATCCCTTCACAAAAATAGTGCCCCGAAGACCTGATTCCCTCTTGTAAGTTCTCACTTCCTGACACCGTT